GACGTCATAGGGTTCAATCGAATCACCTTGAGCCAAGGAATAAGTCGACAAAAGAATTTTGATTCTAGCCATTATGGTTCAAAAGTTATTAGCAAAACATGAGTGAAATTTTGGACAGTTGGTGGAGCTAGAGGGATTGAGTTGGAGACTCCAAATTTGCTATGAAGACTTTTCAGACTGTCCTCTATCAGTGTACCAAATTTCATAACTTTCCCGCAATCGGTTCTATGGGCTGCCATAGACACCCAGTCGGAAGAAGAATAATAAAGAACGGGAACAGATACAATAGGTGCCACCGCACCTTCGGTGCTTGGCCCCTAAATATGAGCAAAGCACAGTCACAGAGACAAAATATTTATTTATATATAAATCTAGAATTTGGTACATTTCAGACTACACACACATTGATATGAAAGGACTCAATCTTACACCCTTCGGTGTTAGCAAAACTGTTTAAAGAGAACATTTTAGCTATAGTACCCAAGTACATGAACACGGACAAATTTGTGGTCACATTTACTGTTTGGCAAATTTTCAAAGGCAAAATCAAGTAATTTCAGTAGGAATAGAGGCTAGAGTTACATCCAGATGTCACTGATTTTAAATTGTTTTATTAAACAGGTGCAGATAATTAATCCTATTAGCAAGTGGAGTTCAATCTGTAATCAACGCAGAATAGGAGAAATACCAGCAGAATCCCCCACCTTTGTTCCTTGACAGTTATCAGCATCCCACCTCCACACTTTAGTTCCATCTACTCTTACCAAAGAGTACTCTGGGTTCGGGCAGAAATTCAGAGCTCAGAGCCCTACACCCGAACAGAACGCAAAGTATGCTCAATCTTAATAATTATATGTAGATATGAACTGATGAAAATGTATGTTGGTTATTATTCTGGCAACTGGTAAACATAATAACTTTAATAGGATTTTTCCATTGGGTTTTGGATTATTACAGAAAACAAGCTATTTTGCTTAACATATCTTAACATGCTATAAATCATGCATGTTGTCATGCATGGGTGTCCAAACTCAATCATGGAGGACCACTGTTCTGCAGAGTTCAGTTCAAACTTACCTTCAACAAACATGCCTGGAAGTACTTTGATTAGCTGGTTCAGGTGTGTTTAATTGAGGTTGGAGCTCAAATTCGTCAGGCCCTGCAAGGAGCAGGGCTGCGTTCCAGTCCACTTTTTTAGACACGCACTTGCAAACTTCACTAAGCAGTTCCCCTTGGGAGAATCCCTGTCGCCATTTTGAAGTGCTTTCCACTTCGTGAAGTGGACGAGGGAAGTTTATATGGACAGACACTTTTTCCCTCAATTTTGACCTTTTTGAGAAAAAGAAAATAATATATCAACTCCATGCTGATTCCAAGAGATCAAGGGCATAGGACTTTCCAATTACGCCCAGCTGCACTACTTCCTGAACTTAAGCCAGCTCCTTATTTCCTGTCTGCTATTATTGGCCAAACTTGATTAATTCAGGTGTGTCTGATTATTGTTGCCATGACTACTTAGGTCAGGCACACCTGAATCAATCAATTTGACCAATAATGGCAGACAGGAAACAAGGAGCTGGCTTAAGGGATAGTTCACTTTGAAATTAATTTTTGATATGTTCTAGCTTACCTCAAGGGGATCCAAGATGTAGGTGTCTTTGTTTCCACAGCATTTTCAATTTTGACATTTTTTGGTCAAACCGTTGTTGTCTATCAGTCATACAGGTGAAGGGGGTCCTCAATCGGTTCACCTCAAAGAGCATGCACAGAGAAGTCAAAATTAAACATGATTTAATGACTCATAAATATAAGTACACATTGATGGCCTAAGACATGAAACGAGCAGTTTGTGTGAGAAAAAGAACAGTATTTATATCGTTTTACCTCTTGTAATCATAGCCATGACAAAATCTGACGGCACGGGTGCTTCGGTCTGCGCATGCACCGGAAGTGAACGCTTGCGCGCCCACGTCACTCTTTGTTTACACAGAGATTTCGGAAGTGTTACCTTTCACTAAACATATTTAGATATACGGGAAACCGCAATGGAAGACGATTTCGGTATATCTAAATATGTTTAGTAAAAGGTAAAACTTCCGAAATCTCTGCGTATATATTGAGTGACGTCACACGCAAGCGATCCCTTCCGGCGTAACATTGAACTGATTCAGTTCGGTTCAGTTGGACATTGAACAACTAATTCAGATCACTTGGATTACACGAGGTAAAAACAATATAAATACTGTTCGTTTTCTCACAAAAACCGCTCGGGTCTTAGGCCATCAATGTGTACTTACATTTACGAGTCATTAAATTACGTTTAATTTTGACTTCTCTGTGCATGCTTTTTGGTGGACCCCCTTAGCCTCCAGTGTATGACTGATAGACAACAACGGTTTGACTGAAAAATGTCAAAATTGAAAATACTATGGAAACAAAGACACCTACATCTTGGATGCCCTTGAGTTAAGCTAAAACATATCAAAAAATAATTTTAAAGTGAAATATCCCTTTAAGTTCAGGAAGTAGTGCAGCTGTGCATAAGGCCAATTGCAGTTTCCGCCAGACAAAGACGTACATCCGAGTGAACAAGACAGAGGGTTAGCGAGTGAAGCACGAAGGGCATGACCATTTTGAACTGGAACGCAGCCCAGGACTGGACACCCTTGAACTAAACATGACTCACTAAGCCATCAATATCACTAAACTTCTGACAAGAGGTTTTAGTCTTTATTTAAAAAAAAAAACATTTTGACTTAAAGTTTCAATTAGAATAGTTTGCAAACACAATGAGGTTACGTAAGCAATCTAGTAAGTATATGAGCTTACCTGTCAAGCATGATGATGTTTTATGTCCCTGAACAGCTCTGTAGGTTGCCAATAAGTAAAAGCTTAACAAACAAACAAAAAATTGGTTATAGATGTTTTTTTATGTTGTATAATAAAACAAAACATATCTTCAGCTTGTAAACCACAGACCTTATTTCAGGTGTTTAACCAAAAACCCACGAAAAAAAAAAAAAAAAAAAAAAAACACAAAAAAACCTCAACCCAACTTCAGTACGAGGGAACCGGAAGTACTAAAATGCTAACTTGTTTCCAGGTTTTCCTCTATAGCACCTCATGCGGCAACGCTGAGAGTGCAACGTGTGGCCTGAACACAAGATGTGTCTGCGTTCATGTACTTGCATGGTTCAAACATTTAAACAATTTAAAATGAATAACCCTTCAGTAAAGGACAATGTTTTATATACTTTAAAAGCTGAAACTAACAGAAGATTATACATTTGGTGTTACAAAAAGAAAAAAAGAAAAAAAACTTAATTTGTACATGAAAATGATAAAGCACTGACTAAGGACACATGGGCAACTGTGTATTTTTATCCTTGAGCAAATGGCTTTGTTCGCACAAGAGGTCCATATAAGTCTGTGCCAAGAAATGAATAATATCACAGCGTTCACAAGCAGCCTTCAGCATTATTTGCCTCTTTGTGCATCCATATCATGTGTGGGTGGGCCCCGGTGGGTGTCAAGCGTCCAGTGAATCACAGAGATTCATTTGGATACGGAGAGCTGTCCAATCATAAGGTCACAGGATGGGCGCCTCTCTTCCCACAGCCACAAACGGCAGCTTCTCTGAGCGGGTCGATAGTAAACAGTGTGCAATAAATGTCACATAGCACAACAATTAAAAATAAACAGCAGAATAGCAATGTCGCACAGCTTTTTACACATTTTTTTTTTTATATTTAAACAATCAGTTCTGAACGAAAGCTGTAAAATCCACAGAGTCATTATGAAAATGGTGGTAGTTCTCTCTCTCTAATGTGTCTGCAATGGCTTTCTATACGCCTCCAACCCCATCTGAGTGTAAGCTCGAGCGTAGGAGGAGGTGGCGTAGGGCAGTGGGGAGTGTAGTTGATATGTTAGTGCTTGCTATGATCTCAATAGTTAAGGTTTATTTATAACACTCAGAAAAGAGTATTTAATGTCACATAAGCATAATACGGCACTGGGAAGGGACACTTTGGAATTTTAATGTATGTTTAGCATATGCAGTCTGTGTGTGGAATTAGAGCATAAATTACATTATAAAGAGGCACTTAAAGCTCTTTAGCTTGCGTTGGATAAAACCAATGGTCCCAGGGTCAAGCTCAAAGACCTGGTGTTGTCTAACTGTTGAATAAACTCTCTTTCTTTCATTATTTGTTAACCCTTGTGCTGTTCTAAACTTGTATGTCATTATTTTTTTCACTAGAATTATCATTAGTTTAATTTCAGTAGACTTTCAGAAGAATCGCCACACATCTCATTTCCATGCAACTGACGTCCATAGTGTCTTTCAAACTCCAAAAATGACAAAATACATTAAAAAGTAGTTTACGTTAACTAGTTAACTAACCCTTTATTCTCAGTATCTCTATGTGTGTGTTTGTCTTTTAGGTGGATAGGTAAAGGGGTGGTTGGAAGGGAATTTATTATTGGTGTAATAGTGCAAACAGTGGTGCATTAACAGTATAATAATATATCATAAATGATAATCTTGATAATGAACATTCAGTTTTAGGGCAGATGATCATGTCATGTTGAATATTTGTGTAATATTTAAAAAAAAAAAAATGCCAATAAACAACCGTACTACGGAGCCCCTAAAGGGACCTTTGCAAAAATAAAAAATATACAGACTTTCACGTGCTCACGAGAAACATATCTCGTGCTCACGAGGAATATATGAAGAGTTCAGATGCAAAAGCCTCTAAATGCCATTTGAAATTTTCTTCTTTAATGATGATTTTTATCAAACTTGTATATTTTATTTCATTAATTTCACTTAAATAACAATTAATAGGTAATTATCATTGCCATTTAAGTGAAATTACTGTTCTTAAATATACAAGTTTGATAAAAGTCATCATTAAAGAAGAAAATTTCAAATGGCATTTAGAGGCTTTTGCATCTGAACTCTTCATATTTTTATTTTTGCAAAGCTCCCTTTAGGGGCTCCGTACAAAACTGATAGACAGCACAAAACTGTATAATATAACAATGCGATTCAGTTCAGTTAGTGTACACTTGCAAGTTTGGCAAAAAAACAGCAACAATAAAACAACAACAACAACACACATTTAAAATATATTTACAGAAAACTACAATCTGATGTAGGAATTTACAAAATCTCCGTTATTTTATCACATATTAATATGCTACAAGTCTCAATAAGTAGCCTACGCTTACATGCACAGTTATAATCAAGCAAACGTCCATGTAAATGTACTTACTGATCTAGTGCCAGTTGTATCCATGGATTCGTTGCATTGATCAAATGTCCTAAATAAATTTAGAAAAAAGGCACATAAATGTTTCACATATAGTGGTGCTGGTTTCATTTAGGTTATGGTATCATGGAATGCTGTGAAAACCCATTGTGATTTTTTTTTTATGTTCTGTTTCAAAGTTATACACTTCCGTCTAATTACTAGAAGGAAACTTCATAGTAAACTCAGACATTAAGACAAATTGATAGACTCCAAGAAAAAAAAAAGTAAATACAAACTGAACAGATCTCAGGGAGGCAGGTACAATAATACTATTTTTCCAGCTGACACCAATCACAAGTACAATCACAGTTTACAAGTAGCTGATCTCCAGAGAGGCGTTCTTGTCCACCGGTTCCTCTGGCAGTGTTTTCACATTCCCATTTTTGGCCCCATTCAGATAGGTTGCAGCAAGCCCAAATCCCGGTCCTTTACCAACAGCATCCCCACCCGTGCCTCTCCTGTCAGGCGAACACATCTCAGAAGCCCCTGTGCCCGAGGGTTGCTCTAAGAATAGGGCTCGGCTACTTTCAGGTTGTCCGCTTCCGTTTCCAATCTGAGTAATCCTGCAAATTTCCGTCATCTCCGTCACTTCCTCCCTGTCCTCTTCTTCTTCCTCATCCTCTTCATTTCTCACTGCTCTTCTAAGGCTTTCCCTGGGCATCAGAGCTCTTCTTCGTTCTTCCTGATGCTGCTGCTGCTGCTCGGTGGGCTCGTGGTTCTCGACCCTTCGAGATGAGCGGCATAGGGCCTTCCGGAAACCCCGCTTGAAGTTGTCCGAAAGGAAGCCATAAACTATAGGGTTAGCGCAGCTGTTAGCGTAAGAAAGTACCACTACGAATAGATGCAGTCCCTGCGGCTCGTCGCGGAGAGATTCCACCAGGTTTATGATGTTGAGGGCGTAAAAAGGCATCCAGCAAAAAACAAACACAGCCACCACTATCACCACCATTCGTGTGACCTTCCGCTCCGACTTGCGGCGTTTGGTTGACGTGGCATGAACCTTCTTTCCTGAGCTGCGGATCTTGATCACAATGAGGAGATAGCACATGCAGATGACTAGCAAAGGGAAAAAAAAGCCTACTGTGGAGGTGTAAATGATGAATGCCGCTCCCCAGACGTTAGCTGGCTCCGGCCATATGATATTGCAGATTCCTCCTTCCCGTTGCACGTTTGCAAAGATCACCACAGGCAAGACCACCAAAAAGGAGACAGCCCAGATTGTTCCATTCACAGCTTTGGCCACCGGTGGTCGCCTCCATTTAGAGGACCGTATAGGATGAACCACGGCCAGGTAGCGATCGATGCTCATTACAGTGAGGCAGAAAATGCTGGTAAACTGGTTAATGCCGTCGACAGTCATGACCAATCGGCACGTGAATGAGCCGAAGGGCCACGAGTGCATGGCATTCTGCACGGCGAGGAATGGAAGGCCCAGCATGAAGAGCTCATCAGCTATAGCTAGATTCAGGATGTAGATGTTGGTCACAGACTCTGTCTTGGAGTAGTGAAGGACGATGTGAATGACCAGAGAGTTTCCTCCCAGGCCGACGACGCAGACGATTATGTAAATGAGAGGGATGAGGACTCCTGCCATGCTTGTTCCTGCCCGGTTCTCCGGATCTGTCTCATTGGTGCAGTTTGAAGAATTGAGGAAACAGGTGTCATTGAGAACGCTCTCGTTAAAGAGGAAACCAGGAATGGAGAGGTTGTCCCATAAGCCCAGCGCAGCAGAGGCGTCTGTTGAGGTCAGCTCCATCTCACTCTCTTGCCGTCACTGCCTTCAGCTGGGGGCCACCATTGTCCTGCACAGAGAACAACCACAAACTATCATTTCTCTCTCAATGCACTCTCACATTCAATAAATGCATAATCTACACACAAAAAGCACCATTGTTAGCAAGTTTGTTTCACACTGTTTTTGCAAATCTGAATATAGCTTACTGAGTGAAAACATACAATACTAGATCAGTGGTTCTCAACATTTCTGACCCAAGACAATATTCAAAGGACCACATTTATTTGAAGTCAAACATGACAATGATGCCTTTTGAAATTTCATTTAAACTTTTTAGAAAAATAAAATAAATTTAAAAAAAATGTAGCTTATATATTAATAATTACTATTGTATGTCTTTTTGACATTCAAATTGAAAATAATTTTATCATTTTTTGAAAACGTACAAATTTAATTAAATCAAAGTAAAATTAAATAACGTACATCTCAGAAATGATTTGATTTATGAGAAAATGTGAAATATAAGGGGGGAATGCAAGATTGCTGCAAATGAGACCTAAAATAGGCAAGACCAGACTGGATTAAATTCATAGCAGGACCACGTGTACCGCTCCGCAGGAGAGGACAGGTGTTGAATGAAACTTATAGTAGTCAGAAAAATATGGAAATTGATATATGAGTAATTTCCAGGTCTGGATGAATATGGGGAAAAACACTGACTGTTGAAAACACAATTGAATAAGTTATTAAAAAGTTCAAGTTATTTGTCGTCTATCATTTGCGAGTCTCTTTTAAACTGTATGAATGTGTACCACTCAAATCGGCAACAGCAATCGACATTCATCTAAGTCAGACTGTACTTTGTGTGTTTGAGGTTAATGTATGCAGTTTTTTTTAGGTTTTCACAGACATCTGTGCCGCAGTGTGAAAAAAAAATGAGAGTAAGAATTATGTTCAGTTTACATGCTAAACACCTTGATTTTAGAGTTTTTATTTTATTTTAATTAAATGTGATATATTACATAATGTAATTTATTATTATTATTATTATTATTATTATTATAATTAAATATTATTGTATAGACATACGTTTTATTTCTTATTGTACAAAATGTTGTCAACTTTTTTCAAAATAAATAAAAACACTAAATTACAAAAAAAAAATAAAAATATTATTGTATAGAATGATCATGGAAATGCAATTATATATTACCATATCGTTCCAGGTTTAAGACTATACCTTGAAAGTTGCTTTCCTGAGTTGCCCTGGTTGAGAACTACTGGACTAAACATTGGTCAAAATACATGAAAAGGGATTGCAGAGGACATTTCATCGTAAAAAACCTCACATGATTCACAGGATTTTGGATGGTGTTATTTTTGTCCCTTAGGCAATCAGCCATGCCAATTATCCAATGTATGGGTGATACTCAGAAGAGAAAAATCTGCCTCAGCAGTACTTTGCTGAACTATTAAAATGGAAGCATCACAAAACATTAGCACTGCATAGACTTGAAATATGGAAAAAACAAATAAGCACAGTGACTACTAAATTTTAAAGCAAAGCATGATGGAAAAGAAGCAAGGTTTTCTCTGCTGGGAATAGTAATTTAAAACAACATTATTAAAGTAGAAGGAATGAATAAAAGATGAGAGATGCACTTCATGTCAGAAAGGAAACAATTGCAGTAATGCAATGAGACCAACTCTGCAGGGATATTTGTGTTTGGCTTGTCTTGGTGTACATTCACTCTTCAGACAGTTCAAACACTGCACTCCCACATGTGGAGAATGCACTACGGCTAATAATTGACATTTTATTAACAATCATGCCCACTGGGACTCAGAACTGACTGAGCAGATGATTAGAAGCCCATTCACAGTCGGTCAATGCTCGTGGCACATGGTGCATGTTTATTCTGAGGATATATAGCCTACTTTCCTTGGTTATCTTTAACGCTAGTTCAATCAAAAAAATTAATTCTCTCATCATTCACTCAAGAAAGGTTTGGAGAAGGATAAGACTGAACATTTGCCCATATAATGTATAGTCTTTAACAGTAAGAGATCAGATTAGGTTGGATCAGGTGATGCAGTCTTATGTTCCACATCTCTTTGTTTGAAATAGAAAAGCATGTTATTTTAGATTTTCACACCTGCCTCTCTCCATTTCTATTTAAAGGAAAACTCCAGCGCAAAATGAACCTTTGGTCTAATAACATATTGATACTTAGTCGACCGTTCTCTGAGATCTGTTTTCATGATAATTGAATGTAGAGTTTTATCTTTAAAAACTGATTAGTTTATAACACTTGTATATGGGGACATATAATAAGTTCAAAGAAATCGCCAGTTAATACCACTAACAGGGCTAAGGCTAACTAAGGCTCAAAATAGCCCCACACTAACGCAGTAACATAATGAGGGTCCCTTCATGCAAAACGAAGCATTGAGAACTTTGTAAGTGTACAGACAATTTAATAAGAATATTTATAAAGACAGACAAGAATATATTTTATAAAGACAGTACACTTCGTGTATACAGGCAGGAGCCATCTTTGGAAAACAGTCTCGACAATTCAAACCACCTTCATATACACGAAGTGGACTTTCTTTATAAAACTGTCTGTATTATTAAACTGTAAAGTTCTCAATGCTTCGTTTTGCATGTATAGACCCTCGTTATGTTACTATGTTAGTGTGGGGCTATTTTGAGCCTCGTGGTATTAAAGGTTTGTATTGCGCCAGAGTTCTCATTTAATCTCTCTCTCTCTCTTACCTTCCCAATTACAACTAGAAGCAGAGCATATATGGAAGATAAATTGACTCTGGACCACTGTAGCACTCATACAGAGAGGCAGGTGAAACATGCCAAGAAAAACTGCCATCGTCATGCTCATATTGAGGTTTAAAGTGATATAGGCTGCCATACGTTAAGTTTAAATGGGAGACACTGGATACCAGCAAGAACTAACTTTATATCAGACAACATTTTTTAATGAATAAATTATGAACCTGTTTTGTTTTTAATTTAGAAATGTCTAAAATATGCATTGACAATTAGTGTGCTTCATTATTTGAAGCTCCCTGCTATTAAAAGCAGAAGATATTATTTTGAAACATTTCAGAATAGAGTCTTCTGATGTTACATTATAATGAAAGCTAATTAATTATGAAAAAATGTATATAGTTACAAAGATTTGTCCCCCAAAACAGATGAAAGTAGTATTCAGTGCCATGTTGAAAATGAATGTAGAAAAGAATAAAAGTGCATGTCAAACAAAGAGAATAATAAGTGAAAAGAGATAAAAGCAAGAGAAGAAAGGCTGTGATCTTTTAAGTCCCTGACATTCATACAGCTCCACACATGTAACCTTCATGATTAAATAGCTATCCAAACCTTCAAAAACATTTTTCTGGCTCCAGGTTTGCTTAAAAAAAAACTTCTCAGATGATCAAATGATTGATTTCATTAAGACGAAGTGTGCAAGCAGTGCTTTGTGCAGTATTTTAAAGTTAATTGAGTGTTTTAAAGTTACATGGACATGAAGGCAGAAACAAAACCTTTATGATTCATAATGACATTGCACATTTGGTGATTTTGAAGCAAAGCAAAGAAACATTTTGTTTAAAGGGGGGGGGGGGGGGGGGTTGACTGCGATTTCACTTTTTTCATTTTAAATAGTGCGTAATGTTGCTGTTGGTGCATGAACATTATCTGCAAAGTTGCAGTGCTGAAAGTTTAGAGATATCGTCTTTTAAAAATCAGGAAGTATATTGCCTACAAAAACGACTCGATTGGGACTACAGCTGGGTTTTAGACGTCACTAACCCACACATTTGCATCAACCCCTCCCTCTGGAAAATGCAAAAAAGGGCATGCGCATATTTCTGCGGCACGTAGATTGTGTTGTGTTCACGCAGCTGTCAGGTCGTCTGTGTTCGAGCTTCCCACGGACGCTGTACTTCGTCAACAATGGACACAATTTATGTTTGATTATGTTCCTGAAAATGACGATCGTAATCTAGCTCTCTGTGCTGTGCATTTTACGGAAGACAGCTTCCAGAATCTCCACAAGTTCAATGCTGGATTCAACAAGAAACTGTTACTAAAACATGAAGCAGTTACAACTTTAGGACCAGAGGCAGCAGTGTTGGGCCACAACCTGTAAGTAGGCTAAGACTTAATCATTTTAAATGTATTTGCATGTATAATTCCAGACGTAGCCAGCGCTGGCTTTATAACCACAAGGCTACTAGTTATGCTATTTTGTGTCTACGACAAATGCATACAAACATTATGGACCTGAATTTTGTATAAGTACTAATGTTGTAAATGTATTTTTCATGTATATATGCTTTATGACCTTATTTTCGATTTGATCAAGAAGGTAAACTTGCCAACGCTGTTTGAGTATAACATTAGCAGCCAGTCAGTTGCTATTGTTGCCAGTCAGATGCTATTGTGAAAAACAAACGTTAAAATTTTTTAGCAAATTATCATTCAGAAACGTTTAGTAAGAGCCGTGTGTGGTGAGGTTCTGTTTGACTCTCTTTATCGTCGCTTTCTCGGTCTGATTCTGCCTCAAACCGATACTTTGACGCATATTTACATCTGGACCGGAGCTCATGACATGCACGTTTCACCCGTAAAGGTAATGGTAAACAATGTGAGCGACAGTTTAGCCAATCACAACACACTGGGCCAAACTAACCAATCTGAGCCCACTACGTGTTTCTGAGGGAGTGTTTTCATAGAATCAGGAAGTCAACAGCTCGTTCAGGAGAGCGCGGCTGACAATAAAGCTGAAGTTTATGAAAAATAACACTTTTTAAAAAAGAAAAAACACGAATACATGTTATATTGCACCAAACACAATCATGCAAAGAAAAAAAGCAGTCAACCCCCCCTTTAAGCTTAGATGTCCACCATTTATTGTCTATTATATGATCTTTACTAAATTGTTGAAATGGAGTGTGACAACCCATCAGACCCAGAAGTCAGTTCTTTTTAATATCAATTAAAAAAATGGTCCTGAAATTGATTATTTCTGAGGTTAAAATTGA